TTCTTTGCTTTTTACGATTCCTACAAGGGAAGAATAGGAATTGTGAAGAGGAAAGGGTGAAGATGTACTGGAAGTCTGTCTTCAATCCGTCAAGATCCGTTCAAGAGAGGAGCCTGCCCTTCAATTGTGGTATGTTGAAGATCTTGATGCTGTTTTGCGATGTACCATAGAGTACCAGTCATTTTCTTGGTTGAGAAAATGCTCAAATTGTAAAGTAACAATTTTTAGATAAGGATTTATGGCTGTTTCTGAAATTAAGGCATGGAGATTGTATTCTTATCTAGTTCATTTGCATAATCACCAACGAAATAGATCTTAAGTTCGATCTTCGTTTGGTGGTGGCTCGCTCGATGGTGAATTTGCCCTTGAACCTGAATGTTTGGAAGCCAATCGGCCCAGCCATTCTCAGCTGATGTAATACTATACTACTTTGGTAGATAAAAGATAAAAGAATGAGAGTATGAAGCTTAGGATTTTCCACAAAAACTGTTTAGTATTCTCATTTCCTGTTTAGCGCACAATTTAGATTGTTAACCACACAATTTTGAGTGTTTCGTGCACAATTTAATTGGGCACAAAAACGTAAATTTGAGTGGCCCTGATTAATTATTTTATACCAAAATTTGCGGTTGGGTAAAATAATTACATAATAAAAGGCACAAGCTAAAAATGGTGTCAAATAAATATTAATGCATTATAAGTAACCGTTTACTTTTATTAAAAATACCCTTTAATACATTTGTGTACGTAAACTATATTGAATTTACTATGATTGTACTTAAAAACCAAATATTTATTTTGTTCAACAAACCTAATCAGCCTACTACAGACGACTAGTTCTTCAGATATGCTCTTAAAGATAAACCCCCATTTACATTCGGAGTAATAATTTTCATTCATATATTCATCGAGGGCAGTCGTGCAAATCTAGAAATAAACTTCAAAGCATTTAACATTTGCTCACTGACCAAGAACGCCCCCGACTCGGTCCGCCTGGCGATGTAATCTACACAATGCCCTGGTAGAGTTTTAATTGCTATGACACTGCCAAGACACGGCTGACTGGATAATGGAAGGAAGGGAGATTGGGCTTGGGATGGCGCTGGGGTTGGGGTTGGGGTTGGCTCAGGTCAGGGCTGGATAGAGTCCTTAGAAGGGCATGTTGCTGCCCGTTTGCTGTTGTCGTTTTCTAATTTGATATAGATAAAAATCATTTTATAAATGGCGTCGCCGGTGCTAGCGATGGTGATGCCGTCAAGTGAGCATGGCCCTGACAGACACAGAAAACCGGGCGGTCACTCCTAGTCCCTGGTTCGGGACACTCTCTCGCAGCTCGTTGGCTTCTTCTTAATTGAATGCTCATTTCAACAAGCTACGCTTCGGCTCTCTAGCGTCGCCGGCTTTAATTGCATTTTTATTTCATTTCCCAGCAATTATCGCAAGTTCGTGTGCAAATTTTATAAACTGAACGAGGAAGACCAGGACGGAGGGCCACAGGACAGCAGAACAACCGGGAGGGAGAGCTGACTCCTTGCCAGAAGCGTCGAGGAGCTGCCACCTGCAACATCCTGAAGCCAAAAGGTCAATCGTGTCATGAGTGTACGAGTATCTGTATCCGCAACCCGCCATGTGCAACTAGTTGGGTATGCGAGTACTATGTGAGTGTGTGAGTGTGCGGTCGGTCCGATGTCCTGCAAACCGTAATTAAAGGCAGCCAGGACTTGTAGCCGGGACTCCTTCGTTGCTGTTACTGATATTTATTGTCGTTGCTGCGCTTTCTGCTCTCTTATTGTCAGTGCAACTGCAAGTTGCTGTTGTCGTTGTCGTTGCCGTTGTTGCTGCGAGTTGTTAGCAAAGCAATTAGCATGAGTTTGCTATTGCAACACACGGCCAGAAGCCGGCACAACGTCGGAGACGACACGGCGACCTCGTCCGGCACCTGCTGAAAGTTTTACGTTACGTTAAGGCACACCAAAGCCGGAGGCAACTTCCCGATGCTGTAGCCAGCAAATAAGAATTTAATTTATTTACTCTGCAGCAGGCAAAGTGTTGGCAAATGGCCATGTAGCATTTAGCACTCAGCAAACAAATCAACCGTAAGTGAAACTTATGAAACAGAGATATGTAAGCTAAAGGTAACGAATCCGTTGCCGAGAACCCATCTCTTATACCGATTTGCTGGGAACTGATATATCGGAACTGTACGTTTGATAAGCCTAATATTATTCGTTTGCTGAAATAAATAGTATTCAATCAAATGTATATAATTTGTTTGTACTTTGTTGATATGCGGTACCTGTTACATTTTGCTGATGCAACTGCATTGTATTTAAACTTTCTGCCCGTAAAATAAATTAAATATAGCCTTAAAATACACTATAAGTATTCCAACTAGTTTTAGTTTAATGTAGTTCAGCGCTTTAAAAAATTAAAAACAACGTAACGCTTGAATCGTCCATAAGGGACACGTTTGGTTTGTTGGTATGGTCCCCTGACCCGATACTTATTCTTCTTATTCTGTTGGTAATAAGTTACAGATGATTTTAGACATAAGCACGAGTATGGATGAAACGCAAAAACCTGCCCAACAGATTTTATAAAAAGTAACACCAAGACACTCCTGTAAGATATGTACAACACCAACCTGCGCATTATTATACTCACTCGTATTGGTGCATTATAAACTATACAAGACTTACAGCTTCTATGAAATGCCCCTACAAATTTCGAATTTTATACACACATTAAAGCTACACCTGCATTAACCTAAGGCTGGATAGAAGTTTACTTTCAAAAGAAAGCCTCAATATGCATCGCTAAGTTCCTGTCCGTTTGATCATTTCACAGCTATTTTACATTCAGTTTTTCTTACTGCGATTCTCATTCAAAGTACTCCTACCATTTTTCCGACAAAGGCTTCGATTTACTACAACTTTCTCAACCTCGAACCACAAAGACTAAGCCATCTCATCACTCTCTTCTTTGGTGGTAACCTTCAACGCCTTTTAAGCCGCTTTGTCTGCCCTTCGATACCCCGAAGTCCCATTTTCCGTTCGTAACGAAAAAATCTGTTGCTTTGTCCTGGCCCTCTTCTATTGCGTTTTATTCACTCAATGGGGAGTTCCCATCTCGCAAAGGATTTCGCTCGGGTGCATTTCGAGCGCGTGGGTAGGGTTGGGAGTGTCTGGCATTTGGTTTGATTTTGGTGGCTGCACCTTCCCCAAAAGTTTCATCGTGGATTATGCAAAAAGTTTTTCATTAATGTAGGATTTAGATATTTTTTCACGCTCTGTAACTGCTTTTCCTCTTCTCTGGTCCCGCTGAGCTTTACTGGTGCGCATTTTTTCGCACAGTTTCCTCGTTTCGTTTTTCCCTGTTCGACTATTCTCTTTGGCTTTTTTCCTGCGTTCTGGTTGTTGACAACGCAACTTTGGTCCCAGGATACGGCAACTTTTGTGCACCGCACCGCAGCGCCGAGCGCCAAGCGCCAAGCGCAGTGCAATGGAAGTTGGCACCACCGCAAAACACAGATACGTTTGGATGGATGGATAGACAGCTAGACAAACACTTAAGAACAGAACCCATGAAGATGCCACAAAGCGAATTTGCCTTCCCAAAAGCCGAAAAGGCAAACAAAGAGTGGATTAAAAGGGTAGATTTCAAGAAATTGGTTGCGTTATATGCAACTTTATACAGTCAGTGGGTGGGTTGTTTAGAAATGGGGTTATCAAAGCGAAATTAAGGAGGGAAATAGTACAATTGATGGGTGATCTCGTATTTCCAAAAGCGGAATCAATATATTTTTAAACATACATATATATGCTACCTTTACGTGTTAAAAACGAGGGTAACTTTTCTTTTGTAGGATACTACATATTATAGATTACTTCATTTGTCTTGAATTCTTCCCCTAAAGCCTAAATTTCGATGTTAACCGACTCTAACTGTACTCGAGAAAGTTTTTTTGAATTCATGGAACAAATGGCTAGTGCCTATCGCCTACTCCGCTTCCTTCCAATTAATTTATTATCGAACCCAACCATTTCTCTCAGTGAGCCGAAACATACAATTTCTGGTGCATGAGTTTTCTTTTTTGCCATCACCAACATAACTTGGACTTTCTTTCTTCTTCTATATATGAGTATACATATGTATCTATATGTATGTATGTGTATGTACATTTATTCTTTTTTCGTATCTGGTTTGGTTTTGGTGGTTGTTTCTTTGGAGACACTTTTGCCGCTTTGCAGTGCAAATTGTTGGGTTTTGCCGGTCGGTCTTTTTTCCAGTTTTATTCTTGTAGATTTTTTTGTGTGGTTTTTATTTTCTTTTGTGGTGTTTTCGATTTGTCCCTTCAGCTCTTCTTCCGCGCTTCAGCATTTATTTGAGTGTGTAAACTTTTGCTACTTGCATTTTTTGGGGATTTTCTGTGGCAATTTCACAGTTGGATCCCCCATCCCTCTCAGCAGCCACACACCATGCCAACTTTGATAGTTTTGTCAAAAGTTTTTATTGCGATTTGTTGCAGCTGCAAGTCGAAGTCTTGTAAAAGTAATGCTCATCCAAAAGAAGAGCCACAAAAATGAATACTGGAATTCCCCAATTGATATTTTTGTGTGAGACAAGTTTCCATGGGTAGGTTGAGCACCGGACTGCGACTTCAATTAGAGATCTTTTGGAGGATTCAAGTAGGGGAATTGCTTAGAGTATAGCTTGGCATCTGATGCATCAAATCACTAAGATTGTATTTTATTCAAATGGGTTCTATCGGTATTAATAACCCACTTGGAAGATAGTGCAATTCGTATAAAAACTGGAAATTTAAAAAATATATTATTTTGTTCAAGAGAAGGAGCAAGAAATGTTCAAATTGGTTGTAATGAAATTAAATATGGATTAGCCAATACAAAGCACTATTTTAATTGAGCGATAAGTCTATCGTGGCATACATATATGTATGTAAGCAGGATGCTCGAAATTGTTCCGGAATAAAACGTTAGTGCTTTCAAATAATTTTTATAGTAGATAGATTACACAGTTTTCATTATAAATGAGGCATATAGAAGAGCATTCACTTAATGTACATATTTCTTAGCTAAATCGAATATTTCTTCCTTGGCGTACCGCGGGCTTACTTCACTTGTTATCACAATTGTCGATGACCACGACGTCCCCGTAGTTGGGGGGCGGAGTCTCAGGTCGCGCCGCGCCTCCTGCCACATCGTCCGTGTAGAATCGGGACGTGCTTTCTGGTGGGGTGGTGGGAGTAATGCGCTCCCGATCCCGACTGCTGAAGAGGTTGCTGCGGCTCAGGCGACGGATCAGGGTGGCGGTGTTCTGGTTGATGGTTCGGTAGTACTGAGACCGGGCCGGACGCCCAAAAAGGCGGCTCACAAAGCTGTCCTGCGGGCCGTAGGGCTGGCGGACCACTGCCCGCGAGGAACGCTGGGTGTTGGAACGGCGGGGATTGCGAGTCCTGTGAGGCGACCAGGTGTGTATTGTGGGTAAGGCCTCCTGCGATGGATCTAGAGGAGCTTAAAAGAGAATAAGTAGCTTTTTAATGATATGTCTCGATGCTTACCCGCTTCACCCTCAGCCAACTCTTGACTGCACTTCTTCTTCCGCAATTCGCAGCAGCTCTTGAGGCACAGCGCGAAGGTAATGATGAAGATGACCATACAGATGCCAGTGGCCCCACCCACAACAAAGGCCAGCTTCAAGTCATCCGGATCGTACTTTTGAGACCGTTCGATCTCATCTGCCAGTTGAGCATCTCCTCCGGCAAGGAGCTGGTGGCTCACCCGCTCCAGGCAGGTGCGATAGCGCAGACAGAGCTTCTCCCGACTGCCCTCACAGACGTCACTGACGGAAGACTGTTCGTCCTGCTCGTCGCTATTCTCCTCGCTTGAGTCCAGCTCCCGCCACACGGCCAGCACGGACTGTGGTCCTTGGGTGGTGGGCTCTAGGTTCTCGAGGCGTTCGAATTTCAAGGTCTGCCGCCCCTCCAGCTCCAGCTCTACCTCCTCCGGTGGTGGCAGAGGCTCCTCCTCCGCGCAGTCACTCATAAAGATGACCACTCCTCGCTGACGTAGTCCGGTGGCCACTTTGGTCAAGGCGCGATCGCAGTTAAAGGGATTCTCCTCCAGATTCAGTGAGGCGAGGAAGCGGGGTGCGTGGAAAACCCCCGAGCTCAGGGTGATTAAAAGATTCTGCGCCAGATCCAGCTGGCGCAGCTGTGGCAAGGCACTCAAGAGCTCTGCGCCCAGTTGGTTTATCTGAGAATTGCGTAGGTTGAGGGAGCGTAGCGAAGGGCTCCTCAGCAGTGGTCCTGTCCCCAGGGTGGCCAGCTTGTTTCCCTCCAGATTGAGATGGATCAACTGTGAATTGGACTCCAGGAGGTGCTCATCAATCTGTTCCAGGCGGTTGTAGGACAAATCTAGGTGGCGCAGTCTTCGCAGCTCCGCAAAGCCATCGACATACAGGGTGTGGATGGCATTATGGGCCAGGGTGAGGTTAACCAAGTGAACTGTGCTCTGTGGGCCATTAGGTAATGTTTTCGGTTACGAATTCGATCCGCAAACTTTTTGACCTACCTGGAAGGAGTCATCGTCTATGCTGGTGATATCATTGTAGCTCAGGTCCAACAACTCCACCGTTTTGGGCATTTCTATATTGGCACTTATCAAGCGTTTTGCACTGGGAAAAACAGGGGAAGATTCGATAGTGATATGATACAAGACAAGGTAGTCCGAAATTGACAACTCACCTGCATACCGCCCGATTGCGTTGTGCATGGAGATCACACTGACAGACTGTGGGACAGTACATCTGCAACTGGGTCTTGCTCCGGCACACCTGAAGCAGCACGCAGAGCAGAAGTCCCACGTAGAGAAGGATCTGCTTAAGACCTAACCACATCTTGGGCTTGATCACGCATTGCAGGGCCATATGTCTTGTATGTTATATGCTATAGTTTTTTTTGCTGTTGGGAGGGGCTCCTCAATTAGAGCTTCGTCATTTTGCGCTCTTGGTGCTACTGAGACTTACGAGTATGTTGGTAATGCTCGCTTTTTGTTCACTGACTGAGGAAGTTGCCTCTAGACTCAAATCATGACTAACTGATGCGCTGCCTTCCAATGTTGGGGGACATGGGCTCGACTACGCCAATCCGGCCCTTGTACCGACTGGTTGCTCAGGCTGATAATGTGCTCTAGCGCTGCGCTACACTTCCAGTATGATGATAAGATAAGCTTCTTTGTTATTATCTAATCAGCTGTTGTAGCTTTATTCGAGTATTTTTGTGTAGAGAGTGAGTGAAAGACCAAGAGTAGGTCGAATCATATTTCGACGGCGGGGTTTCTGTTGTTTGGAAAATTAATACCTACAGAACATTTACCGCAGCTGGAAGGAGTAACTGATAGCTGACTTTGGCTCTTGATATGGGATATGTTTTACTTTCACTTAGGGACTCGCAAAAAGTACTCAATGGTAGTTGTTTGATATTTGTTAATCGCGAGAACAAACTACTTAGCATGCAGAAATCTATGTATAGAAAAAATACCGAGATAAATACATCTTATACATATCAGAATTTTAGATGTTGAAAACGGGCTGTAGCAGTAACTGGTAAACCATGCCGATGGTACTTTCATCCGTACCAGGTCGGAAGTGCTGACAAGTGATTTTCAATCTCAATGATACCAATAAAATCAAACATGTATTTGGAAATACTAAAAGAGAAAAGGGCACTCATACTCGTACATGGTGTTCAAACGATTGATATACGGATCGCTCATCCGCAAACGTTGTCCCATCCAGGACTGCTTGTCCGGATTAGGAGCGACAATTTATGGCTTGCCACTCTCATGTCTCTCGGAGATAGTCTCCAATGCTGGTTTACCGTCTACTAATCGGCGGGGATAAAGCGAACGCAGGACGATAGCTCATTAAGCTTCAATCAGCCGCTGCAGCGGCCAGTTCAGGATCAGTCTCTTCGTTAAAAGTAAGGTGCTCCAAAAACACGAGAACCTAGACTGCTCAGCAACCACGCAACCACATTGTCGACTGGTCGAAAATAAGTACTTCTTAACAAAAAATCGGAAGACGAGGCGATACAAAATTTACTTACGATTATTTAGCGATAAGATTATTAGCAATGCAAACGTATTGAAAACAGTTTCTTGGTGGACTGTGAGCTATAGTTTCATGGACAAACCTTCAAAAACCCTCAAAATATCCCAAAAGTCGTGAATATCTCAACTTACTATGCTACTATTTTGTATAGTTCGAGATGACAGATGCTAAACAAATGCTTCCAAAATACTTCCCCCACTTGTACTTGATCCATAAATCGTAGAAAGAAAATAGTGCTCGACGCGCATTCGTCACGAAACCAGGGCCATAGTGTACCTAGTCTAACAATTAATTATTTTATTCAATGGGTATAATTTCTATTGATAAGCCGATAACCCATCCATTATCGCAACAACGTTAGAACGGAAACACTTGGAAGTCGAAGACCCAACAGAATATTTATTATAGAATTTTACAATTGAATAGGACATTTGTACATGGTATTCAGGCGTTGAATATCAGTTGTACTCATTGTGAGGCGTTGCCCCATCAAAGACTGTCCCTCCGGCTGAATGGCAACAATGGTCGGCTCGCCATTGACAGAGAAGGCCAATGAACTATAATGTAATATACTACCATAGTCATAGGGCTGATCGAAGTCGCCAACTTCTGTATCCTCGTACTTGACAAAGTTTTTAGCATGGCCTTCAGAGATATTCTCCTCCACAATCCTCACAAAGTCGTCTCGATCTGGGGAGCACTGCTGATGGTGGAAGCCCAGAGTGTGGAGCAGCTCGTGTTGGATGGTTCCCAGCTTGAAGCAGCCCGTGTCCAGCTCACCCGGCTTCAGCTTGACAGTTCTTTCGCCAGGCTGGTAGCCAACCTTCGAGCTACATCCTGACGTCGAGGTAATTACGAAAAGATAGTTTTCTTCCAGCTCGTCGGCGGGCACGAAGCGAATGCAAGACGATCGCTCAATAATCTTCATTCCCAGCTCAATATATGCCACTTGGGGAGCATCTATAATCAAGGGGGTCTGACAAGTGATTTCTCCGAACTTTTGGATGTCCCTTACCGAATCCCTCTTCTATCCTATAGGGAACTGTTCCATTGGGCCAGCGACGTGTTTCGCTCAGCTGGCCATTCCGCTCAAAGTCTACTTCCATATCGCCTTGGAAGTAACCAGCCGTAAGCTCAAGATCTGTTTCTCCATTGTAATTATTATACGGAGCTCCTAGCACACTGGTGCTGAGAATGCCAACCAATGCCAAGTGAATCCACGGCGCAGACATTTTCGACTGAGCGCGAAATTCTTCACTAATTGGCTGCTAATATGGAACGTAATCGCTGGATAAGGAATTATAAATTAATAAATACATAAGCTCGATTAGTGATAATAGCTATCAAAATTAGCAGCGCCTGAAGTTCTTTTGGCGCCCAATGATAAGAAAATGATTGCATACTTGTGGGAGGGCTATGGCAAAACTTTCAGAGACCCTCCTCAAGATGAATAACCCAGTCACATGCCATGCTAATACTTCTCAGTCCGCACGATTCACTCTCTCTCTGTGGGAAGTGAAACACTTTCATCCGCTGCATCTGCCAGCTGACCAGAAAAAGGCTTCAAGTCCGGCCTGGGGCATTTTGGCCAACAGTACAAGTTGATCGTTAACCAGAAAAGCGTTGACTCGAGGCTACTCAACAGCCCAGCTTGCGCTTCCGTTGCTGAAGCTCAGTCACAGGCACTGGCACAGTCACAGTCACAGTCGCAATTCCAGTCCTAGTCCAAGTCCCAGGCCCAGGCCCAGGCCAAGATGTAATGGATAGAATCCACTTGTCCGCTTTCCATACCTCAAACTCCCCTTCCTCAACCAGCTTGCGACTGTGCTTCCGCACTCGGTTTGCTGCCTTTAATTTATGGCCATGGCCAGACAACTACGACAAGGACCACGATGGCGCCTTCTGTCAGTCACAATGGGGCGTGGTTAGTGGCTGGCACTTCCGCTGTTTTCTCGGCTTTGGATCTGCCGCTCTGCTGGCCCAAGAACCCCCATCGAATGATCACCGCAATGTGCAACAAAAATGAAAACTTTTTCCCACACATTCGCAGCTTTTGCAATTTTTCGTTTTGGCGAGCTGGACCGTCGGAAATAGTTAACTTTTATATGCATTTCAAATCAGAAAGTTTTGCATTCAAACTTTATTAAAATTACGCTTGATGCTCGGCCAATGGTGCCCGACCAGCCAACTCCTGGACTGGATGAATCTATAGCCTCGCTATTGTTGGCCCGAAATGTTGTTCGCCATCTTCATTGCCACTGTCGTGGGTCCCCTTAGGGGTTTCCGTTTCTTTGTTTCTAGAGTTTTATGAGTCCGATGCATTTGAGAGGATCTGTAATCTAATGCAGCTCAAAAGGGTTCTTTTCTCTAGGAAAAGCTATAAGCTATATAAATTAAAATTGAAGCTGCCATGGAAAACACATGCTGGTAGTCGTGACCCGAGTCACCCGAGTTACAGTGGTATAAGATAATATAATCCTTTATAATACGAGTTCATAATGGGGATAGATGGTTCAAGTCCAAAAGGAATACTCCTTGAAATTCCTCAATATCACACAAAACTTTCTAAGAAGTTTTGTAATTATCTCAGGGTGAACAATTTCCGACTGTCTCCCATGGGAAGAGTATTCAATCTTCTGCCAAGTGGAAGGAAAAATTCCTAGTTTTCCTTTCTAGTTTTTGGTCGCACATTTGCATTGTTGTTGTGACTGCTGGCGCCTTTTTGTGGTATCTTCTCCTCCCCTTCAGCCTCTTTGTCCTTATCCCATTTCTGCCCTGTCCTCTCTCTTGGCGCCCGCACTAATGACCGACATTGCTTCCTAATTACAAAAGTTTTGCATGCACTCGCTGCACTCGCAATGGAGGGCTTGGAGGGCACGGCTAGGACAGCTAAATTTCTGACCAAAAAAAAAAAAAAATGTTGAAGTTTATTTTATTTCCTTTATTTAATGTTTGAGCGCTTAAAGTTGAGCTTTTCATTTGGTTTTTAGTGGCACTAACTAACGACTCCATTAACCCATCGCGGCTCGAAACGCCGTCAGACGGAGGCAGCCGCAATACACATGTTTCGCCGGTCAAAAGACCATGAAAACAAAAAAGAAACCAAAAAAATGTTGTGTCCAGGCTGGGGACGAGGCTCTCAGTACATTCCAGTTACACATATGTCATGTGACACATGGCAACCCTGCAACAGGACCAGGAACAGGACCAGGCCCAGGACCAAGCCTAGGCACTGGCCCAGACTGTCACCCACATCTCGTTCTGGCCTGGTCCGCACTTAATGATAAACAATGCTTGCGGTCAGTTTAACATGCCGCGCTATTACCCTGGCACTCTGCCACTCTTTCGGCCCTGCGAACTCCCGACACCACCTCTCACATAACGAGAGGACAATTTACACGATGAAACTGAACAACTCGACGGAGGGCGCTCTAGGGTGGGGTGTTGACTCCTTGATACCTTAGGTTGTTTCGCAGTCATCTTAGGATGATATACAAAAGTTACTTCTACAGTTATTCTTATGGTACATATATCGTTTATAAAGTTATTCGACCCAGTTAAGTTGTCGCTCTGGGCTCTGGTTGACACCGGTTTATTATTTATTTTATATTTCAAGTCTTTTTTATATTATATTAAGGTTAGCTCACGATTACAAAGAGTTGTTCTGTTTTAAATATTTAATAAGTCACAAATAGCTGTGGGTCGAGAAAGAATTCGGCATCGTATGTTTGGCGTCGATTGCTGAGACTTTCTCCTCTCTCTCTTAGAATCGACTGCCGCTTCCAATCTCTCCTTATCTTTAATGTCATCTGTTGCTTTATTAGTGATTTAATTATTAACAGTAAATGACATTTCATATTTAAAATTGAAGAGATTTCATTTGAAATAAATCTTTTAGATTTGTATATATTTTCCGGAACTATGAAAGTTAGCAAGTTTGAATGATAGATTTAGATTTCATTCTGTTGCATATGTACATGCATCATTCTCAAGCCACAGCATATCTTATTTCATCTGAGACATAATATTATAATGACATATTCTAGCATACCCCGACTAGCTCAATGCTCACTATTAGATAACTAGCAGCAGGCAACGGTTAAGAAGAAGCAACAAAACCAACATGCTTAAAAGAGCAGTAAATGAGAATTTATCCACTTGCTGGTCAGCGCGTGCCCCTGTCAGTGCTCCACCTAGTCGTCACACACACACACACACACACACACACACACTTACCGACACAAACAGACATAGAGAGAGAGACAAAAAAAGAGAGAATGCGTCGGTCAGATGGGGGCAAAAGAGGAATACACGCACATCGTAAAGTTTTAATCGGATGTTGTCCAGCTTTACATGACGCCATCTACTGGCTTAGAGTGCAATATCCTGTGGCACGCGATAACATCGGGCAAAAGAGTTGGTGGCCAGGAAGCGGTAGGACGAGTCGGAGTCCTTGTTTATGTGAAGCGCCCGGAAAAAGCGCTTCAGGCCCTCTGCTTTTTGACGGCATTTGGCATGGGATGCCCACGCACAGCGACGGCAGGGATACGGACACCACACCCCAGAGCCATAGCCATAGCCATAGCCCTAGACCCAGCAGCCAACAGCCAACAGCCGACAGCCAACAATTCCATCTACGAGCAACAAAGAACAGTTACAGATGCCGACTCGATGCCAGGGCAAAAGCAGCAACAGCCGCTACAAAGGCTTAAAAAGCGCTCAACAAGGAAGAAAAAAAGCGGAGAGCAAGAAAGCCGAATGGGGAAAGGATTCATTTGGCGATGTCGACGCATTTATGCTCTCTACACTTTGATGATATACAAATATAAATACTAGAGAGGTCAATATAAGAGATAATATCAAAGTTTTGTAAATATTTTTAAATTTGTAAATTGCAAATCGGAAATTTGGCACTCCATAGCGATTATACATATATATATAAATATAAATTTTATTTTAATATACATACATATATGTAAATATTCATCATTCATTATATATGTATACAGAGACCCATCATTTTCAAAGACTTACAATTAAAATTAGTACTGTCAAAGTTCGGAACTATTTGAGTATTATTTGCGATACACATTGCACCTTTCCTATACCATACAAAATATTCATGGTAGTGGTAGTTAAACGGCTTTGACTTTAGTGATCAGTAAAACAGATACATCTTACCCTCCCAGTCCTAAGTGCCAACAGAATCGCAGTGAAATGTGTTGTTCCTGTTGCGGGACTCCCTTTGGTCAGCCACTTGGCTAGACCGAACACTTGCTCCGCGCACTTTTGGCTGGACAGGATGTCCAGAACCGACCCCACCAACCCACCAAGCAGCCAGCCGACCGACGAACGTCGTTGTCATTGTCGTGACAGGAAATTAAGATGAATGTGGCGAGCAAACTGCAGTTTCTACGCCGAACACCCGCCAGGACCGCAGTTGAGGCCACTCCGTTCTCCTCTTCAGAGGAGAGAGAACAGAGCTCTGTTGTGCTCTGCAGCCTTATTGTCGTTTTTCTATTCGGTTAGACAGGGGAGGGACGGCTGCCCCTTAAAATATTCATAACAAAAACTGTTGCCACTATCTCCAGTGCAGACCACAGACGCGATAGAGGACTCAGGACTTGATGGGAGGAGAGACAAATGGCAACGCTGGGAGAAATCCTAGGAAAAGCTGCAAAAGCGTGCGAAAGTTGCCCGTTTGAATTAATTGATTTTTATGAATTTGTTAAGTGAGTTTTTTATGCCCCAGAAGCAGAAGCAGAGCGGCTATGGAAATGAATGGAAGATGTAGGAGAGGTGGAATGTTAGACACTATATCATGGCTGGAACGGAATGGTGTGGATGGTTCTCTCAGAGTGCAAAAATATGTTTGATAATTACAACAAACTTTATGATTAGTGCAGTAACTACAAGGGACTCCACTATATTAATGAACAAGAAATATTTTAAAACCTGGGGAAATAGTTAAGGCTATAGCATAGACATTCCACCACATTTATAAATTAATTTTTGGCACCGGCCAGTAGGATGATCTTGAAGATCCCTATATATTTAGGCCCTTAAATAACTAAGGCACTTTGGTGGGTAGGTCTTGTTTCCAAATCGTGTGAGGTGTCACTGTTGATCACATAGTACATACACTGATAGAAAAGAGGCATAGTAAAAATAACTACAATCATATTTGAATTTAAAATGCCTTTTTTAAATACAAACATAGTAAAATTTAATAGAATTCACTTTGATTCAAATATAAATGTATTAAAAATGTTTTTTTAATATGGTCATATTTAATCTAAATACAAAACACTTCAAAATAACTATAATATATTAAATTTGTAGTTTAATATGTTTCATATTTAAATTGAATATTATTATGACTTGATTTCAAAATTTTTCTTTTAAAATCCAAAGGAAAAACTTTTTATTTTAAATATTCCATGTTAAATGAAATCAAATATTTTTTGTATTTATTTTAACCATGTTTATATTATTTTTTTATGTCCCTCGAATTCCCAACTGGTTCCAGCTGCTGCTGTCTTGAATGCACAGTAAAATTATCTTAGCGCAGGGGCATAATCACAACCAATGCAGTCCTACTCATGTTGCGATTATTTCTAGTTGAAAACTTTAACCAATTCACACCATGAGGACTTGAAATGTAAGTTGCGTACGCAAAATAATAACCAATTAGCTAAAAATTAATATAAATATAAATATGAAACATATTAGATTTAAATATTAAACATATTAAATTTAAATATGAAGCATATTAACACTGAATATGAACATATTAAATTTGAATATGAAACATATTAAATTTGAATATGAAACATATTAAATTTAAATATGAAACATATTAAGTTTAAATATGAAACATGTTAAATTTAAATATGAAATTTATTACTATATATATTTTACTATATTAATATCAAAATTTAAGTGAAAAATATTAAATTTTAATACAACCACTCTTGGATGGAAATCAATGGCATAAATATTAAAATCTAAGTGAAAATTTTAAAATTTCAGGGCTTTTTTCTATCGGTGTAGGTGTTTCGATGTTTCCTGCTACAGGAGTCTAAAAGAGTTTTATCTCCGGATTGGGAGACTTCTTGGCCGGCTGTGGCCTTTCACATTACAGCACATTACAACTAAGTGTAAGATACTTAAGTTATGTGGAAAAAAGAAGCGTTACCTCTGAAAACACACATTAAAAAAAAATAAAATTGTTTAAAAATAAAAAAAAATTAAAAACCCACCAGAACGCTCTTAGTGATAAATCATGGAGGCAAATCATCCCCTCTATTTGTTCTTGCGCTTGATGAAAAAGAACAAAAAATGTCGTATAGGTGCTTCAGTAAAAAGTTTATTTCGATTCTCTGCAAATAATTCATATTGAAATTTGAATTATATGAGTTTTAATATCACTCTGAAGTTTATCTCTAGGCATTAAATTGGGGCGAGACGAAGTTCGCCGGGTCCGATAGTATTTAATAATCATTACTTGACTAAAACATTCCCTCCGAGACTGTTGCGAGTTGTTGCGTTTCCGACTGTCAGCTTTCTGAGTTTGTTTGCTTTTGTTGACATCATTACCTGCGTTCCCCAGCCGGTGACAGTCAAATTTCCTCCAATTACTGCCTGAAAGCAGACTCAAATATTTGAGAACAAGCCATTAAATCATAAATGAGGCAATATTAATGTGAAACTTTCAAATGGTTCCGTTCCACTCGGTACTGAGGGATAATAACTTAATTGAGCCATTGCACGCATGGGAGAGTTCATTTAAAAGTTGGGAAACTGTCATCGGGTGCCTCTCAAAGTAATCCTTGATGTTCGAGTCTATTTAAGCCGGGTGGTGGAAGCATTCCTTCGTAGTCTTGAGTCCATTATGGTTCGTTAAGTGCCTCGATTGGCAGATGGTCATAGGGTGAGGCTGGCCTGGCCATTGGCCTGGTGGAATACTTGGGCTCTATTGCATCCCGACTGGTGCATGAACAGACGGGGCTCGACGATGCACCTGTTGTCGGACTAACGACTTGTTTGGGTGACGAAGATTTCGGACATGGCTCTAGGCATGGCTCTGGGTCATCGTCCTGGTTTCCGGTTCCTGGAGGAGAGGCTCTGTGGATATCAGTTCAATTGTTGGTCCCGACCAGCGTGGGGTTAGCGTGGCTGTTTCTCGCGTTGCATGGCTGTCTCACTGTCGCTGCCATTATCGTTGTCCTTGTTCGGGGATGGTCGTCGTCTCAGTGTCGAGCGCCGGGTTCAAGTTCGCTGGTGCTTGTCCGTGCGGACCAGGGTTTGTTGGGATGCCTGTCCGGGTGGCGGATGGTCTTCATTGCTCGTAATACCGTGGTTGCAAAAAGAATGTCAAAAATTCCTTTAGAAAATATGCCCACGAGCTGTCGTCACGACGATTGGTGGTCCGGGCTTGCTGTATTCTGTGGTAACGGGGACTTGGTCGGAACCTTGGGGTCCACTTACCGCTTGTCCGGTTGTCCAGTGGTGACTTGGAGCGTCCTGCCGCTCGAGCTCTGCCAGTTTAATCCAGGCGGCCTGCGCGAGTGGAGCGTTTAACGCGGCAAAGTTCTTTCCAAACTGCTCGACAGTTCCTTCGCTGCTGAATTCGAATTCCTCAGCCGGTGCTGACCCCTGGATTGGTAAATTGTCCTCCTTCTATTCGTCTTGGCACTAGTTTTCAGTTTCTTTAGGGGTTAGCTGGCACTTTTTTTAGTCCTTGTATTAAGGTTTTCTTGAAGTCTCTTTACAAACCCTTTAAAGTCCCTGCCTGGGCGCCAATTGTGTTGTCCCATTTCAGGCTGAGGTGTGCTTAGTCTGTCTAGGGTTCGACTACAAGTTGTTTGTAGTGGGGGGGACTGGGACTGGCCTGGCTACCGAAATACGAATATGCTTTTAATCCAGATACTTGGGTTTGTGTTTAGGTTTATATATAATTGTTGTTTTATTGAATTGTCGTTTGGTTGGTTTACCACCCGTCTTCTGACTGCCTTGTTGATCGACTACCCGTCCTCTGACTGCCCTCGTCTGGCTGCAAGGCGGTGCCTTTTATGGGCAGTTAGTGCCACCGATCGATCTACCAATCTATACTATAGAATGTCCTAAAGGTATCTTATTTCTATGGATAATGGGGAATGGGGATACATATTTCGATTCAGTCGGGATTTACATGCTAGCGCGTGTGCGTGGGGCGCCGTTGATCAGTAACAGAGGATTACGTAAATCATTGGCTCCCAGACGGTCTGGGGATGACAATCGGAGACTGCTATTTTTTGCTGACGTGCTCGCGCGTGTGGGGTTGATTGATTGGTAACAAAGGGTTACATAACCATGATTCATCGGCTAATATCCTATGTACGGCATGTAGTGTATGCACGTACTGTGGGAAAGGAATGTGTCGCAGTATGTGTGGTTGGGTGTAGTGCATTGCATTTTGGTGGTTTAAATATGGTGGCTTATATTACAGAGCTTATAGATATATAAATGTTATATACAGCTCCCGACATGGCGGAGACGTAACATTTCCTGCTCCTTCCCAGGATCAATATAAACGGTTCCCACGTTTCGTTAAAGTACTCAGAGATAATAACTTAATTGAGCCATTGCACGCATGGGAGAGTTCATTTAAAAGTTGGGAAACTGTCATCAGGTGCCTCTCAAAGTAATCCTTGATGTTCGGGTCTATTTAAGCCGAAGAGGTGAAAGCATTTCTTCGCAGTCTTGAGTCCATTATGGTTCGTTACGTGCCTCGATTGGCTGATGGTCAGAGGGTGAGGCTGGCCTGGCCGCTGGCCTTGTTTCGACTGAATCATATATTTTGGCCACTGGATCCCAGTACAGGGAAGTTTGGGAGGTATCTGGACCGTGCACTGGCTGTGGTGGGCTGCCTGATCTTTTTGCAGCATAACGACGCCGAGCTGAGGTATCTTCGCGTGGAGGCGTTCAACCTTAATATGGATGCATTTCTCACGGGAATGCCCACCTACCTGATATTGGTGGAGGCTCAGTTCCGCAGTCTCCACATCCTTCTTCACTTCAAAGAGCTTCAGAAGTTCCTGCAGCGCTTTTACTTTACCATTTATATTGATCCTCGGAAGGAGCCGGACATGTTCCGTCGAGTGGATAAAAAAATGCTTGTTAATCGCCTGGTCTCCGCCATGTACGGAGCTGTTATCTCTGGCTACCTCATCTCGCCAGTTCTATCCGTCATTAACAAGCGCAAGGATTTTCTGTACTCGATGATATTTCCCTTTGACACAGAGCCGTTGCCCATATTCGTGCCCCTGCTTCTCAGCAATGTCTGGGTGGGCATCGTCATCGATTCCATGATGTTTGGCGAGACGAGTTTGATCTGCGAACTGATAGTTCATCTGAATGGGCGCTACCTCCTGCTCAAGAGGGACTTGGAGGAGTCCATTAAGACTATATTGGCGGATCGACAGCGTCCTCATATGGCTAGACAACTGAAGGAGCTGATTATCGAAACTCTGCGCAAGAACGTGGCTCTGAATCAATTCGGAAAACAGCTGGAGACCCAGTATACGGTCAGAGTATTCATCATGTTCGCCTTCGCAGCGGGCCTACTCTGTGCCCTATCCTTCAAGGCTTATACGGTGGGTTGGCCTATACACGATGAACTCGAAATTTACACGGCTTTCCCTACAGAACCCCATGGCCAACTACATCTATGCCATTTGGTTTGGGGCCAAGACTGTGGAACTACTATCGTTGGGCCAGCTCGGGTCTAACTTGGCGTACACGGTGAGTAATTACAGCATTCCCTTAGATGACCCGTACTACTCTCCACCAAACAGACGGACTCCCTCAGCTCAATGTACTATCTTACCCACTGGGAGCAGATCCTGGTGCATTCCACCAATCCCCAGGAGAATCTGCGCCTGCTGAAGCTCATCAATCTGGCCATTGAGATGAACAGCAAGCCCTTCTACGTGACGGGTCTGAAATACTTTCGGGTTAGCCTCCAAGCAGGCTTAAAGGTGCGTACCATAACACTTCACCGAGTTTCATTATTCTTGACTGCGTCATTTCCGAATTGCAGATATTGCAGGCGTCTTTCTCCTACTTCACATTTCTCACCTCGATGCAGCGTCGACAAATGAGCAATTAAATAATGCACAATTTTTAATGGAGCTCAATTCACAATTCCGACTACTGTCGTCTCCTGCTCCTGCTGCTGCTTCGGCTTTGCTGGCCCCTCTAGTCCGTTGATACAAATGATTGCATATTAAAAGTCAATTATTGGTGAATTAATTTTAATTAAATTAAATTGATAAAAGGCGCTGGCTCACTCGCATCGTTGACTTTTGCTTCTTTTGATCGTTTTGTGACTGTGTGTTTGAGTTGGGTTCTGTGTATGTGGGGCGCCTGGGAATATGCAATAAAATATTCATGACTTCTGTGCAGCAAAAACTTGCAAAAAGTTAATAAAACTTTTGCCTCTGCCTGTGGGTAATGAAATTAGAATATCCTCCAGCGAAAGCATAGCCCCACTAAAGAGAAAGAAAAATCCGAATATTCAGCTTCTATGTTTTTGCATCTCTTAAATGATCAGCGGCCATTAAGTACGGGTTGGAGCCAGAATCAGAATCAGAGTCGGAGTCAGCGTCGTAGTCTCGACGTAAGCTATAAATCTTTCGCGTCTGTGGAGCTCTTCCTATCGCTACCCCAGTATGTTTCAATTTCCTCTGGCACGAACATTTTGGTAAATTAATCCATTAAAGTTCCGCCATGAAAATGCACGAAAGTTTTCACATAAAACCACTATGCATCCCATTCGCTCTTCCCCTGTTGAGTTTAAGCCGTATTTATCTCTCTATCTCTTTGCCATAACTCCATCTGAAAAGGAAGTCGAAGTTCGACAGGCGTCGCGCTCATTGATAATTAGACTCCGTCGACGCCTCCGGCTCAGTCTCCTCTCGACGGGTTTCGACCCGCCCCATTAGCCAATTTGTACTTCATTAGCGTCGTGTTTGTTCGGGCGAGACCTATGAAATGTGTGCTCGCCATAGAATGGGTTGCATGGATCGAAGATTGGCAAATGTGTCCTTATTTTCCTTGACTGCAAAAGGGCCGAAAGGGCCATCTACTCATTTGATTCACTGATCTGATGAACTGCCCAGTGTGTAAGAACTTATTTAAATGATTAAAGCAGTAAGTAAATCGGAGTTTGTAGTCAAATTATGTGGGGTTTACTGTCGGGAAGTTTTTTAAACTTTACAATACTTTCATGAAGGGTTCTGTACATATGGGCTAGTATAGTAAATAGTATAGTATAGTATGTTAATATGTATTGACTGCAACCCTTCATAATAGTACCTTACATACAGACATACAGACTATCTACCCAGCTCTCACAGTCCCTTATCGCTCCATTGGGCTTTGCTGAACTTTTGTGCTAACCGCTGAACATTTTATATTTATGCTCGTGTTGCCAACTGAAGCTAAAAGCAAATACACAAACGGATGGGATAGGGGAACAGAGAGAAATGCGGGAGAGTATAAGAGAGGTGGCTAGGGCTAGCGAATGTAGGAAAAGTTTTTAGCTTGTAATTATCATTAGCGATATTGTGTCTAAACTTTTCAAGCCGCGTATGAAGCGCAGGGAATGGGGCGGAAAAGAGCTTTTCACACCCCGACAACTTTAACTTGGTTCAACTTTGATTTGAATGCCCCGACAGAAGGGGTGTTGGCGCTAAATCAATTACACCGAAAAAGAAGAAACTTGTTAATTGACAGATAAAGGAGGAACACTTCCTTTATTTCGTAGCATTTCATTCGTTTCGTGACATGCAATATACTTTCAGCGCGACTGCCAACGCGTGGTATGCTTAATTAATTTTAAATGCACTTTAAAAGTTTCCTCCCACGGGAAAATCTTCCGTGGTCGGGCAGGACTCTGCCACGGCTTTAAGTCAACTTTCGCCTTGTCCGCAAAAAGTAAAAATGGACTACACCAAAAAGGTGGCAAAGAAAAACCTGGAATAAAGCTCATTCATGCACATATGACTGCATTTGTCTGACTCTGACGCTGACTCCGACTCAAGCTCAGGTCCTGTCTCTGTCTCTTAGCGCGGTCTGAGCCGGGCTGTGATGTGAGTTGTGTGTGTAATTATGTCTAAGATTATGCCCACAGTAATGGCGGTGCTTCTACTACAGATGTCTTTAATGTGGCACCGCAGCCCTCATCCTGTGGTATGTCCCTTGCCATCCCTTACCACTCCCCCATGTCGCCAACGTCAAAAGTTTCTGTGGCTGTCTCTGCCTCTCTCCGAATCGCTGATGTGTTGGCATTTGCTTTTGCTTTTACTCGCTGGCTGCTTTAAGTGGAGGTCTTGAGATATTTTTCAGGGCTTGCCTTCGCCATGCTGTTCGTATGCAGTTCATCTGTCACACTGACAGAAAGCAGCCGAAATTCCAGCTTCATAAACTAAGACCGCTAAACAATACTGCCTAAACTAAATTTTAAGATAATTTATTTCGATATGTATTAGCATTAGATAATTAACTATGGATGACATATATACATGCATATGCATACGTTGCTACCAAAGGAGTAATAGGCCGAAACACCGAATACCTAAATAAATAAAGATCAGTATATTATTAAAATAAATTGCAAATTAACAGTTCACATTCTTTGTAATTTTTTTGGATTGTTTCTTCAAAAATTAAAAATTGAATATTAAAAATTTAATATAAAAAATTTTTATATTTGATTGAATTTTAGTGAAAATCGATGAATAAAATATTGAGAGGAGTGTATAAAATGTAAATATTGGCTTTGTATTCGCTTTCGGACTTCTCTGTTCTATTTCTGTTTTATATGTAAAAATTATTGGCTGTATTTAGGAATACTTATATTAAAATACTCATCGAAATAAACATGTTTATGTAAGCGAAAGTGGCTTGCAGTGTATTCCTGCTTAAGAATTCTCATATCCCTATAGTTGCTGTTGTTGCTCTTGTTGCTGCTGGTGGGTTTTCGGCTTTTGCCATGCCTCGTAAAGTCGCAGGAAGTTATTATCCTAAAAACTTTACCCCTGAGGGCAATACAAACAAAGGCGTAGCAGGGCAACAAAGCGCAGCATTCATGTCTGACTATGAAATGGCTATGGCTGCACTCGCCCAGACCTCCACCGGGGCCCAGCCCATACACACACCACCACGCACACATGCGTCTGCTCTTCTATGCATGAAAACAGAATGTCATAAAATTAGAACGATCATAAGCAGGACGGAGGGGAGAGGAGACAGGCAAAGCAAAAAGAAAAGACCAAGGAAAAGAAAAGCTAGCCGAGCCAGCTGACTTTTTTACTGCTCTTGGCGAAAAGTTGATGGCCAGGCGTCCTAGTGCCCGCCTTAACCCATTAAATCCCCTTTATTATTCCAGCAATATTTTCTTAAAATAAAAAGGAAAGAAATTCCCAAGACATTATTACTGGAAAGAGTGATAATCGCGCTGGGATTCTGGCCAAAAGTGCAAATTTGAAATATGAAACGATTTGAATGAGCGTTGAAGAAGGGAAAGATGTAGCGACACTCCTAAAGCATTTCAGAGATGTAAACATATTTCACCAGCTTAAAGCTGCTTAAAGATGCTTTTGAATCTCAATCACAGAGTATTCAACCGTTTAGCTATTCCATACAAACGCACCTTTAATTCATAGTTAATTCACTTTCTTTAACCAGAAAAAGATATTCGATCAAGGCCCGCTTAATGTCCCAAAGCATTGGCCCTAATGCAGTCAACTTGCCGTACTGATAAGGTAACTTAAGCAAGGCCTCAGGAACCAGACTAACAAACCGTACCGAAGCGCCCCCAGCCCACTCCCTGGCAGACGATATTAGCCCATCTTAAGTTGCAACTAAAAAAGCGAATGCATTGCTTGCATAAATTAAATGTTTACGACTTCCGTTTGGTGTGCAGGTAGCTCTGGAGGAGCTTTGGCTTTAGTACAATTTGTGCCATTAAAAAACCAAATATATGTATATGCGAGTCCTTGTGTGTAGCCGGACCTGGGATGAGCAGCGCGTGAGAAAGGGGATGAGGGTCCACCGGCATACAGGACAGAGTTCGCAGATAGTTGGTCCTGGGATTACGAGCCATGGCTAGGAAACACTCCGGCGTGCTGTTGGCAAGCGGCCGGGTAGCGGTAGCTGGCTGGTTGGTTAGTTGCCCAGCGCGCTAATTTTTAATTACGACCACTAAATATTCAATTTTTAGTTGCCGGCAAAGGCAAACACTTCCTTTACCATGGCTAGAGCTTTTTGTTTTGTGGATTAACGGCGCTGCGAGTGAGGAGGATATTCTTGTTTCCTGTCAAGTGCAACAACTCGTTGGAATTGCAAATGTTGCGATTACTTGGAGAAAGGATGCGGTCTAGCAGTGTGCGGTTATACATATGTACATACTACATATATACCTACATACATATACGAGTATGTCTATTTTTGCCTTTTGCTTTCCTGGCAGTACATGCGGTTAAGCTTCCCCACATCATTCACGCTCAGACCCTTTGCCTGCCCAATCTTCACATCTTTCTGAAGAGGAACTATCGTCGGTAGGCCGTTCTTGGAGAATGCATACTCGCCATAGTGCATAATGCTTTTATAGTCGTAGCCAAGTTTAAAATCTGTAACTTGGCTGGCCGCGATCAGTCTAAAATTGTGCTCGTACCCGGGCTTCAAATTCTCCGTGTAGATCTTCACATATCGATCGCGCTTCGGGTCGCAATGCGTGTGAAAGAGCCCCAGGGAATGGAGTATTTCATGCTGAATTGTGCTGCTAGCCATGCACCGCTCTCCAAGATTGAGAAGTTGCTGTTGTCTGCCCAAGAACCCAACATACGACCAGCATCCGGATTCCTTTCTCTGGAAGACCACCTGCGGCTCCTTCGAATTCGTCGTTTTGCGAAAGCGTACACAAGTTTGGGATGATATCGCTGCCATGGCTTTTTGGATAAGAGCGGTGTCCCAGGAAGCTATAAAAGGAAGCAGTCTTACTGGTCTTGACATGGAATGTTATATGATACATACACAAGCCTTCACCAAATCTGTAGACAAGAGTGCTCCCCTTCCAATAATAAACCGACCAGGAACGAGCTATGCGAGCACCTCCATTCATATCGAAATACTCTATCTGCTCTGGTGTGAGTCTCATGTCGTCGTCCTCCACTGTGCTTGGAGGACGAGCATGGACAAGGAATCCAATCGTAAGAAGCAATCCAAAAGTAAGACGGTCCATTTCGGAACTGGCGACTGAGTTTCAAAGGTGTTGGATTTTATACGGATTGGGAACGTGAGGAGGTATCAAAAACAGATAGCCAAAACATGACAATTGCACTCGCAATTTATTTAATTTCATTAAGACGATAAAAGACGCAAGAAAGTAAGGAAAGGGCACTGACCCATGAACTCAAAGATTTCACATGTACCCTTATGAGGTATTGAATTCGGAGTCATACGTGAAAGACCGATAAGCTTCCTTTTATAGATTGAACGAGGCGCATGCTGTCAGGAGGCTTATATACCATTTGAAGTTCCACGACCAATAGTAAATATTTCTCTTTCAAACAGATTATCTCTTTCAATAGCTAACATTTAGGTTTCATTCCTATGGCGTTCCTATGGAATCAATTTCAAATACCCTCCTCAAGGGAAGAGTATATGCTTCTCCCTAATACCTTATCAGCTAAGCTCCTGAAAAAGTAGCAATAGTAAGTATTCAGATAAGAGTACGTTTATTAGCTTGCAAAAATGGAAGGTGACATGTCCCGTGTAGTAGATAAACGCTGCGATTTGATACCATCACTCAGTCACCTTTAGTAAATTATATAGAACTTGTTGAAGACTTTTGCGGAAGGCTGTCAAGCCAGTGGTCGATTTGGACGTCCAGCGGAAGCTAATACTTTCAATCGAAATTAGATTATCACTCTAGGAAGTCACCAACCGATCAGAAGTAACATGCGAACATGACGTCAGAAGCAGGTGGCTGCTACTCTTGCGTTGGTTCCTCCATCGCGTCTACCAACTGAACCTGCAGAACTACGAAGTTTGAACTGGATGTTTCCGTCTCTAGACAATTGCGCCCAAATTTCTGCATGGCCTGGGCTTTTTTCACCAGCTGAGAGGGGCCAATCGGGTGCCAATCGGTATGGATCGTGGAGGAAAATATAACCGAGGGAATTTAGTTTAGCTCCGACAAGCGCAGCGTAGTGATAGTCAACGACGTCAATGCACTATGATTTGTGCAGTATGCTCTTAATGGCTTCTTCAAAAATAATGAGAACACTATAGTGACACTGCAGGAGGGAATGAATGATTTCAGGACCAGTGACTGGAGCTGAGACATCAATAAACTGAACGGTATGTGTGTACAACTGTTCAACTGGGAAACAGCTGAGCTGAAAAAATGTATTCGCTTTATGCCTCACATTTCTTTAATATTTCGCAAATTTCTTTGCATTTTGTTGTAATGATGATAAATGTCGCTTTCTTATTGCTACCTCTAGTTGCCTCCTCCCACACAAAATTATAATCAGTTTATTGTGTTGAAAAATTCAATTAAGTGTATGAACGTTGCTGTCACTAAACGATTGTGATTAGGGGGCTGTAATGGGTCGGGCACTGTCATGGTTTGTTGTCATTGTAATTTTAGGCTGAATAAAAATGACAATAAAGTAGCAATTTGAAAAGAAGTAATCCATCCCGCATAATTTGGATGTACATGAACCAGTCTCAGAAACAAACTTAATAATCACGAGTTGAGAGGCTTAAGTGAATTTAGGGAATATATTGGTAAGGGGAAAGAGAGAATAGGAATACGAATGATTCCTTCTGTGCGCTACAAGCCTCTTATCATTTTACGGGTATACCGATATGAAATAAAACTGGTTAGGTGTCGAGGTTGTTGTATTATGATATCATAGGGCTAGTTATCCCAATATTAATTCATTCATGTTCTTTAAATAGTGGCCATATTGTTGAAGTCCATAGTACCTGAAATTATACCTACCATTTTGGCATCAACCTTAAATAAAACGAGAAGGAACGTTTTGAGTCCCTTCTGTGGCCCCGACTCTACTTTAATACCCGTACTCAGTCAGCATATGTATACATATGTGAGCTTATGATTTTTGTCGAATTTTTATCTGTTTACATTTTTTTGCTACATGTGTCATCTACATATACAACTCTCTGCTTACACCTCCTCCAGAGGTGAGAGAGAGAATCAGTAGCGCTTCAGCGCTGGAAGGGGTGGGTTTAGCAACTGAAAATTAATTTCTTCATTCTGGCTATATTAATGATCCGATCTGATCGATATGGTAGATATGGTAATTTCGATACTACGTTTTTTGTTTTCTCATATCTTCAAAATTGTGGATGCTACAGATTTTCTTCCTTTGTAAAGGTGGAAGGGGGCATGGAAAATTTTGGAAATACACTTGTAACTCAGACTCACTGAAAGCCAAACTTGGTTGCTATAGTTTTTATAGACGGACAAAACAGACTGACAGACATACGATACGGCTATTGATGTATGCGCTGGAAGTGGTATCGGAGTCGATTACTGAATAATGACCGCATGTTCTCTATCTATCTCTCTCTCTCTGTCTTTTTGTATCGCTATTAAGAAAAGGACGAATTAGTTAATGCGGGGAGGGTGGATTTCACAGATTTTAACGCTCTGTTCAGGTGTCAGTGTGATTCCGTGGGATTCCGTGGTGGCTTTTGGTCTGACACGTGGGCGTCAAACAAGAAGTGCAGACGCACAGATGGACGGACGGACTGCTGATCAATAAAGTATATACTCTAAGGGGTCGGAAACGGTTCTTCTGTGTGTTACACACATCCACATCGAGTCAATGATTTGAATATCGGGTATAAAAAACTAGAAAACGTAACGCCATGTAAACGTAAAAATCGATTCCTATCGACTTAATAAGAAACTTAAATGGAAATGCCTTAAATGCCTAAATACCTTTAAGATTACGTGTTGAAGCCAATATTTCGCGGGCCACATCTAACGATTAGATAACTATTAGCGGTCACTGTTGGACAATATAGTTGGCTGTAAAAACTTTATATTAGCAATTACCATAAATAACCCATTTACAATAAAGACTACTTCGAGACCATATCGTCGGACACCAAAACAGTTTCGTCGCATACGTCCACCCAACAATATGAAGGGTTTGGCTCTAACGTTTCTTCTCCTGGCCAGCAGCTGCTTGGCTGCCCCGGCGCCTGGGAAGAGAATGGAAACCGATCCAGAGCTAACCGCAGGCTACATTGAAGGGGACATGGTGCCCAGTCCTGGGGACAGGAACGGACTACGCAATGAAACGTTACGTTGGCCCAATCGTGTCGTCTACTACTACATCAATCTGGATATCGGTAAAGCCTCCCAAGGAGAATAATACCATACGAGTTTGTCTGATACCAGAATTCAAATAGATACTGAGCACCGAAACCACATTCTGCGCGGCATCCGTTTACTTGAGCAGAATTCCTGCCTGGTGTTTAAGGAGGCTACGAGTGACCAGGAATACTACGTAAACGTCACTTCTGAGGCGGGTGGCTGTTATTCGTATGTGGGCTATCGCAATAGGGTCCAGCAGCTAAATCTGCAAAACTATCCCCTGGACACAGGCTGCTTCCGCATCGGCACCATTGTCCACGAGTTTCTACATGCCCTAGGCTTCTACCACCAGCAAAGCACTTGGGATCGCGACGACTACGTTCGCATTGCCGAGGAGAACATCACCGAGGGCACGGAGAATAACTTCAATAAGTACGATAGTGACACGGTTGAGGACTATGGCGAGCCATATGACTATGCCAGTGTCTTGCACTACACGGCATATGCTTTCTCCAAGAACGGAGAGATGACCATCATACCTCTGCAGGAGGGAGCTGAAGAGATTATGGGACAACGTCTCCAAATGACCCAGTCGGATATTAACAAATTAAATGTCATGTACAAGTGCCCCAGACAGGTCTAATACCTAATACCTAAAAAAAGTTCATAATTAAGAGAAATTAAAGATCTGCTATTATTTTAAATGTTAAATCATTTGGAAGAGTGAGTTCTTATTATTATTCATAATTATTGAATCCAAGGAAAACATCCTTCTTCTACGAGGGCGGTATGATAAGTAATCGGCCTTACAAAAAGAAAACATTTCTAACCACCCATTAATACTTTATTCGATTAGTATTTTTTATCAGCTAATTGCTGAAAAAGTTTCAGGCGGTTTTGTGAACCGTGATAATTTTGACGGGAGTTTAAGCATGGTCACTTTTGTATTTGAAGAAAAAAATAAAAAAGTGAATTTAGTGTGCTGATTAAGCATTATTTTTTGAGGAAAAAAGCTGAACCCAAGGAATAACTTGATAAATATTATTGGATCTCTTTTCCATCGATTTCTATGGTTACAAATTTGTTTACTGTATTTCGTTGTGCCCGCACAAGCACAAACGATGAGGCACATGATGGACGCCTATTTATGGTCATATACCCGAAGAAATTGAACAAAATTCCCGATATGGTGTTGGCCGATGGGAGATTGAATTTGCAAGAAATTCTGGAAGCCAAAGTTATTTTCCAACAGGCCAATGTATAGGTGCAGACATGTGCAGTTTTCATTTCAAAAATCCATCAATCAGGCTTCGAATTGGTCTCTCACCCACCCTATTCTCTGGATTTAGTCCCCAGTGACTATTTTTTGTTTTAAAACCTCAAGAAATGGCTTGTTGGATAAAGATTTGAGACAACAATGAAGTGATCTCACAAACAAAAATGATAAAAAAAATTGGAAAAGTTCCGGAAAATGTATATTGAGCTCAAAAAAAAATTATGTAGACAAATAAAAATTTTAAAAAAAGTTGTGTTTTCATAAATAGGGCGACTTTTTATCAGACGTAGTTATTCTTTGTCGTTATGATGTCAATAAGATTCGTCTTTTTCGACATCAGACAACATGAATTAAAGGATATTTGTGCTTTAAAGCTTTTCAACCTGAATAATGTATTTATATAAGGAAGTCTTAGAGACATCTGAACATAGAAAATTCGGTCTAGTGTGGTAAGTTTTCAAAGAACGGGCAATCGGCTCTACCAACCTAGGGTTGTGTCATTCTATCGGGAAGACAATATACGGATCACTCGTTGTGAGCAGCAGTAAATAAAGAAAACATCGAATGACTGGGCCAGTGGACCATGCAAAGCATAGTGCAGTCGTATACAGTTGTTTTCAGTCGCTATGACAGCCTGCAGTTGGAATGTCATTTAAATTATAAATACAACGAAAAAACTCTGTATGTATGAGAAGAAATGTATCGATAAGCATGACGAATGAGATAATAATGGGATTATGCCCAGTTTTAAAGTTATTTTCGCTTCAGTTTGAATTTGAGCTTGGAGATGAATACGTTCGCCCTGACTCTGACCTTGCTGCTGGCTAAAGACTCTTTGAGTGCTTCCATAAAGCTTTTGCCAAGGGATCCCGAGCTCTTGCCACACTTATTTCAGGGAGACCTCGTAAACAGACCCGGTAGAACGTACTCGCCTAGAAATGTGATAACAAACGCGATTTATCATTGGCCAAACCGCACTGTCTTGTACGTTATTGAAGAAGGCACCTTTGGTAAGTTTATAGGATAAAAAAATAGTTTTTTAAGGTGCAGCATGTGATCCGTTTTACATAGACGAACCCCATCTAGAGTATATCCTTCGTTCAATGCAGAGAATAGAAAAAATATCCTGCGTCAGGTTTGTAGAAGCAGAGAAGCCCAGTGATCACAAGTATTTTGTCAATTTGACGTCGGATGAGGACGGCTGTTATTGCGAAGATATTGGTTGGAGAAATCAACGACTAAAAGTGAATCTTGCGATAAACGATTTAGACAATGGCTGCTTTCGCATGGGTTCTATAATCCATGAGCTCCTGCACGTGTTGGGCTTTGAACACCAGCACGTGGCCCACAACCGAGACGAATATGTGCGGATTGTATGGGATAATATTAGTCCGGAACATAAAATCAATTTCGTGAACGACGAAACAGAAATAGGGTGGAACAACTACGGCGTGGAATACGACTACGGCAGTGTTATGCACTACATTCAAAATGCGTTTGCCAAAAACGAATCGCAACCAACCATAGTGGCCCTGAAAGAAGGAGGCTCAAAAATGGGACAGCGTAAGGGATTGAGCAAGAAAGATGTTCGCAAGCTAAATATAATGTACAAGTGTCCTGGCTATGTATAACACGTATAATCCTGCAAAAACTGTATTAAAAATAAATCTTATCATGTTCATGAACTATTTCAAGATGGAACTTATCTGATTGCAATATAGGTGCCAAGGTCGTATGCAAGCTTTTGATACCCTCGAGGATTAATCCTCCCTTCAAGTTTTCTATTCAGCAGTTTTCTACATAATCGTAAAAACGCTTTAAAGACGTCAGTTGTATCGGTATGCCACAATGGTTCAGTCCAGCCTATTCAAGATCTATCTTCACCGGCGGTCGGATTCAAGAGCAATATATGTAATTCGGATGTCCAACAATGTCAGATGTGTATTAAATACTTACCATGCTCCGAGCTCTTGATTTTAGCTTAACAATTCCAATTTCACGGCACTCACTATATTAGAAGCATGGCAAATGAGATCTCTTCCAGGCGGAGTAGTCGGGTCGGTCAGTTTGGAGAGTCATTTATCGTCTAACCAGCCATCCAACCAGTCATCGCATACATCAAACTATGGATTTGACGTACGTGCTATTAGCCATACTTTTCCTTAGGGGAGCTGCGGCAGTGTGCTGTCCGGCCTCGCCTATCTGCGGTGATGGTCAAATGGTGAATGGTGCTTATTGCGGTAACGGCGGGTGCAACGTATTCGGATGCAACTGCACTGGTGGATGCAGAAAAAAACCGGAATAGGAAGTGGAGAAATGGGCAGCTTTTAGGGGTCCAAGTGTCTCAATCAAACTTATTGTCAGCGCCAATAAAACTTAACCTTTCATTCTACGAAAAGCTTTCTTCAAAATACAGTTGTTAGTAGGTTAGTGGTTATTGGTAGGAGTTAGAGCTCCTATATGGCCGGCTGCCTGATGTAGAGTTCATTGGATAGATTGGGTATTAGATCGAATCTTCTTTCTTCTGACCACTAAATTAGTAGTGTAATTATAAGTATAATTATGTAATGTGTTTTACTCCAACTGCACAAAAAGCTTGAAATTTGAATTGGTTACGGATGTGTGTAACGAATAGACGGAAACGTTTCCGACCCCATACAGTACAAATATATATTCTTTATCAGCATCAATAGCATAGTCGATAAAGTCTGTCTGTCCGTCTTGCATGTTGTCGAAACTGAATCAGATCGGATCATTATTATAGAAATTAATTTGCAGTTGCTTCGCTACCCCTTACAGCGTTTACTCATTTTCTCTTTCGCTCTGGCGGTGGAGAACGAGCTGTAGCAGAATTAAAAGCAATAGCGTAAAATTGGAAACAGATAAAATATTCTAAAATCCGACCAACTTTGTGCCGGGTATAAAATTAGAGGCGCAGCCTTAGCCGCGGCTCACAACGTTCCCCCTCGTTTATACAAACATATGAACACTCTTTATTATGAACCCTTTAACACTCAATTTTCTTAGAGTTTCGTGTGTAAACATTTGAGGCACACATTTCACAAATTGGATCATCTTAAATACCACAACGCCCAAAAGTATACAGCACCCCCAAGGGTTTGGTCAACTTTCTTATCACTCTTGGCGTTGTGATATTTTGGCACAGGGTAATCCACCAACCACATAGTTTTTAAACATTAATTACGAGAGCGTAGAACGAATTTTGAAAGAATAGAAGTACCGAAAAAATTTCTAGCCTGCCCATTCCATTCGCATTAAGTAGCTCGAGTAATGTCGCTAAAGAGAGCTGAACCATATCTCTTGATAACATGGAGAGGCTCGAAATCAATTGCTATCACTGTAGTCCATGGAATGGAGCGTGGAAGACTATTCACCGGCCAGATAAGACCCGAACACCCCAAAGACAACCGAACACTTGTGTTAAGCAGAACGATTACTCGTGTATTGGCTGTTGGGGAGATATCAGACTTAGCTGACGATTTCAGCCAATTACTCATCATGGAAGCAGCGGTTTTAATTACTTTTTCTAATTCTGTCAGCCACTTGAAATTTCAATCAGGTGGTGGTTCTGGTTCTATTTGCCTAGGACCGGGAATGGATTTCCGCAGTCGATGGGGCAACCTATTACGTATGAGATGTGTATCACAAATTTACATGACTAATGCGTAATATTTATTGAACAGTGGATGGGCATGACAACTGTTATAAACCTTGATCTAATTGGTCGTTTCAGTTGTCATTATCAATTTGCGAAATACTTTTTGCCCGTTTGTATCTAATCTTTGTTGTGCGGTTTCGTTTCGATCGTACTTATGAACAACTCTTTTACGGCCCGGCCGTTAGTTAACGCTGGGAAACAAAGCGGGCAAGATGTCGAAGCTTGGCCTAATATTTATTCTACTTGTGTCTGTAAAGCTTAGCCAGGGCAAGCCTTTGCCTCTTCCGGCGGGAGTGTACGATCCGGAGGAAGCGGGTGCCTTCGCCGGAGGAGACATGGTGTTGACTGAGGAGCAAAAAGCGAACTTGGAGCATGGACCCAAGGAACGGAACGGGCTCATCAATACGGACAGGAGGTGGCCCAACAATGTGGTGGTATACAAAATATCGGAGGACTTTGTTGGCACTCACAGGGAGGCGATTCTGAAGGGCATAGACACCTTGGAGCAAAATTCCTGTGTCAAATTCAGGGAGGCCACCGACCAAGACACGGCCTACCTGACCATAACAGCAAAGGCTGGAGGGTGCTACACCGATGTCGGATATCGCGCAGCCCCGCAGGAAATGAACCTGGAGATCTATCCGATTGGGGAGGGCTGCTTCAGACCCGGTACCATCCTGCACGAGTTCCTGCACGCCTTGGGCTTCTACCACGAGCAGAGCTCTACGATACGCGACGATTACGTGAACGTGGTATTCGGTAACATAGTGCCCGGCAAGGAGTTTAACTTCCAGAAGTATTCCGCGTCTGTGGTGACCGACTTCGACGTGGGCTACGACTACGATAGCTGCTTGCACTATCGACCTGGCGCCTTCTCCGTCAATGGCGAGGACACCATTATACCCCTAGACTCCAACGCGGTGATAGGTCAGCGCTTAGGTCTTAGCGCTAAGGATATTGATAAGATCAACATCATGTACAAGTGCCCCATTCTGCTGTGATCCGTAATGGAGGTGCAAGGTCTAGTACCAAGGGATATTGTATGGTCAATTGTGATATGTATTCCACCGGCTGAGGCGATTAGATCGGTTTTATGATCTACGCTGTCATTGTCAGTGACATTATATTTATAGAAGTCTACATTAAAGCTATAACTCTTTATGAAAAACCTACGTCGTGTCCGTTGTGTTAGCTCCGCCTGCTCGCCGCTGATAATTTCTTATCGCAGGTGTGCAAAATCCCGCCACGAACAAAATCTATCAGCGTAATTGTTCATTGGCGGCTCTGTGGCGGACTGGGCCAGCGATGCACCCTTAATATGGCCTCAACTTTCAATTTGGAACTCGAGTTCGGGCCCAACCACAGGCCCATGTGTCGAGAACTCGTAATTGCGTGCTACTAATGCGATTTATATGCGAGATGCAAATGTCTGCGAGGCATCTGGGGCTCCCGCAATGTTTGGGAAACGGTTCGACAGAGGCCTAGAGCCTAGGACCCAGCCACCCAGCAGACAGGACCTAGGAGCCAGAGCTAGGAGCTAGGAGCAGGCACTCAATTCTCCCATTTTGACAGCGCTTGTTAGACCATAAATTCGATTTTCGTTTCGACGACATGGTTTCTCGCTACTACCGCTCTCCCCTTCAAAACTGCTCGAACATTTGGCAATGTCTTCCTGTGAGCATTGTTTCATTCGAAATTAAGAAAGGGCTTCCATCACACAGACACAAGGCCCGGTTGTAGCGGTGTGCGCCCATGTTGCGAAAATTTGCATAGACCGGAGAGAGGCGACAATTTTGGTAGGCACAGCACAGTTTTACTCGTTTATTCGACAATTGGCTAGAAGAGGGCCCCAAGGAAATGTTTGATCGATGTGATGCCAGGCAGATGTTGCCCAAAAACCAAAAATGCAAGTATTAAGTCGAAAAAATGTAGTTCGTACATTGCCTTGAGGACTGCAGCTCTGTCAAATGGTACACCAATGAAACGTATTTTTTCAATTAAAGTTTAACTGATCGTCCCAAAAAAGAAAGTGAGGTAATGCCCACAATCAATTTTTGTCCATAATCGTTGAAGGTTCTAATATCATTTTGTGATTAGAAGTTATTAATGTGGCTTTATGCCGCCAATAAGTGCTACTTACAAAGCCGTTTAAACATGAGGAAAGGAAATGTACCATTTGAAAAGTTAACAGAATTTTTTGATTTGATCCAATTACAATACATAAGAAAGGACAAAGTACTTGTATACCATAATCCAAATGAATGCAAATTCAGGCAACAACTTTGATACCGGAGTCACGTGAGACTCGCAAAAACTGTTGAAGATTATAGATTCCGATTTGGAAAGAAGATTCGAAGAAGATTCCGCCGTCACTCATATACATAACTTATTGATATTTATTTTTGATAAAGTTTCGAGAGCAACTTCATAAACTATAGAAATCTGTTAGCGGTTTTTTTCAAGTGAACAAACACCTCTTAACGATATCAAAAGGATTGAACATTTTATTTCTAGAGTTGCATTAACTGTATTTAGCTCACTGAATGACAGCAGACGTTCGTTTAATCGGTCATTCAGACAAAATTTTGTATCTGGATCTAATGCGACATTTCATTGAACTTTCTGGCCGTTTATTAGTCGGCCATCTGCGATAGACCGTCCTTCCGCAGCCATATATTATATAAGTTTTATTTGTCAGTAACCGATCTATGATCGTGCACAAAAGCCCAATGACATGAATGGCACTTAATCAGGAAATACCAAGGGCTGAGTCATTTAAGTGTCCAATCAACTGCCATACCTTCGGTAAATCAATCGCAATTTTTACAGCTTAAAATTAAACTTTATTTCTTGCTTTATAGATATTTACCTGAGGGGAAGAACACTAACATATTGTTGACTCATAAAAATTTCCCAATTGTTTATGATAGGTTTTGCGGAAAAAAGCTGAAAAGTATACACACTTTTTAGGAAAACCTGGTCCCATCTAAACGCACTCCACCTAGAAGTAAGCAGTGGAAAAATGGGGAATGCCGGGAGATGGGGGAGCCGAAGCCACCTCGGCTGCAAGTTACCACAAACCATAAATAAGGAAGCATTTTTCTATTGCATTTTATATGCAAATCAGCTCGCAAAACAATTCCGGTGTCGTTGATCTTTGAAGGATTCGGCGTATTGGCGCTGGCCAATAATAACTCATGCGAAAAAGAAAAACGCGAGCGAATGAAAGCCCGCGTGCCCGCAAACAGAAACAGAAGTGGAAGCCCCGAAACCAAACCCGAAGCCACATGAAATATGAAACGAATTGTAGCAATTTCCCCAATGGCGGCAGACAGACAAACGCAAAAACGCATATGTGACCGAGTCCGAGACCGAAACTTTGAGAAACTTTGTAGCTAGGGAGGAGCCGTGGATGCAGGAGCTGCCTTGGCATGATGCGATTTATTGCTGACGAATGCGTATTCAATTTTAAGGCATCACAGAGATGATTTATACATTTAATTTTATTTTGCGTGCCAAGGCTACGGCTTTTGCAGCCGCTTAGCGGAAATGGGAAATCACTTGCAAGGACCCCATTGCCGGTTCCGGACTTGCATCTCATACTCGCCCGTTCCCTCTCCCATTCCATTCATTTTTTACGATTCATGTTTGGGGCAAAATTTCTCATCGTTCATATTTATGACTATGACGTCGTAAAAAATTATGCTTTAATTTGATTATGGCGTTGAAAAGTATGTTTGTATTGGCTTGTCGCCGGCTCACTCTGCGTATACGCAATCTGCGTTCTTGAAAATGCGTTAAAAGTTATTGGGCGAACGGATGAGTGTGTCGCAGTCGTGATTGACTTTTTGGGGCACTAAGCTTATCCAAGCTGACTTGCAGTTGAGGTTTCTGGGCCCAATTCAGAGGGGATGTGGATGTCGCCGGATTTGGCTTGCTCTATATACGTAGTACGTATTACGTACGTAGAATAATGTCAACATATCGTTTTCGACATTTTTTTTTAGCAATTTCAAACATAGACTTTCCCCAGCCATGAAATCAATTTTAAAATACAATCCCGAGCCTCATGGGTCAGATGGCCCCTAGTTATGCGGATAGGGGCCCGGATAGCTATCCACCAGGTTCTGCCTTTGTAGCAGTAAGAAACTAAGAATAGCAGCTGCTCCTTTAGAATAGACGGTATTAGCGCCCTACTAAGATTTTGTATAAACATTTTATTTTTCACAGATCTCTGCTAGTGTAAAAAAATAACAAATATGTAATGCTTTTTAGGAGATGTTCGAGATATGAAACTATGTAAATAATTACATAAATTTAATTTTAGCAACAAAAAAACTTTCCCTACTAATAAGGGGACAACAGATTATATCAAACGAAGAGCAGAATAATAAATCAAAATTTTACTTTAATATGTGACTTATTTGGCTTTGCTGATGAAATAAGTTGGGGAGCTTTTAATAAAATTTCCATGAATTTGCCGTACAAGAGAGCCCAGGCAGGTCGGCCATGTTGACCTTTCTTTCCCTTTACGTATATTGTATATTGTCCGTTTCGAAAACGTTACCGGGACAAACGATTACGCTAAGCTACTTAGCAGTGACTGAATCAAACGGCAACTAATTAATTTGCATTTGCATTTCTTTGGCATCGTTTTAAGCCAGCCCCTACCATCAACCAACCCAGCCGCCCCGCCCCGTACTCCACTCCTGGCATACTGCCACACACACACGCACACGGACATGCACACGCACACATAACTGTTATTTTGGAATGGCCGCCTTTTGTGTGAACATTAAAATCTTAATTTGAATATGTAACCGCTTGTCTATGCCACTTTTAATCCTCATTTGGCACACTCCCCACCTGCGCAGGAGCTGGATTGCGTCAGGTGGGGTATTGTGACACCCGACACTACTTGTAGTCCGTGTGGGCGATGGCGACGGGTAGCATCATGTTCATTTAAAAAGGTAATTTCGGCACTGAGCTTATTATGCTCATTAAGTCATCAGGCGGAGGCCGAACCGAAATCGGGCCAGGACCTGGTCGCTTGGAGCCGGGCGAACATTATAAAGTGCACAGCCAGGCTACCGCAAAACGTGTGCATTCATTTGCCTCTGTTGTTTAGCCCACTTCCAGTCCCGGCTGCTAGTTACTCCACTGCACTCGGATCTCCCTTTCCATATCTTTTTGGCCGGGGCCAGGACATCGAGCGTGAATTAATTTTTAATGATGTTGTGTGCGGCACGGTGAAAACAACTCCCATTTTGTTGCCGCTGCCGTCGCCGCTACCACCGCCATTGCCGGTTGCTATCTGTGTACGGCGTACACAGTGCGTGCCCTGTCCTGCACCGGATGTGGGTCATTTCAAAAAAATTGCTTGCTTTAAATTGCATTTGCGTTGGCCATGCGCTGACATGATTCACTATCCACTATCCACCAGTCGCTCCCAGCCACAAGTGTTTTTATATGCAGCGCCCTCGGTGATGGGGATGCTTTTGATGTGGATAGGGCAGGTGGGCTCAACCACCAAGGCGTGTGGACCACGCAACCACGCACAACCATGTCACATGGTGGAGCCTGCTCAGTGGCAGATGGTGCTTGTTTAGCCATTAGGGACGAGGAGGACGCTGGCAAACACTGCGAGTGGGTCAAATGCCTAATTAAAAATATTATTTTCCAAATGCTTTATGACATCTCCTCATATCTGGTTTTCTCTTTCAAAGTACTTAATACCTCAAAGACTCGGGTACTTACTGCATCCGATTAACCTCTTGCCCCTTGTCCACCCTTATATCTTGATCTGAGAATGCACTTAATTTGTTTGATCAACTTCTGTGTTAAACATTCCCTTGGCCGCTCTGGCAAAGCAATTAAGCGATTAATTCGCATTCATGCCACACAATCCCTCTCCTTTTCATATGACACACTGAGTATAAATCAAAAAGGGATTTTTATTGTGGCAGCCGCCGGCTATTGCCAACAGTTTGGCGGCCATATTAATGCACGGCTTTCGACTTTGTTGTCGTCCTTTATGCGCTCCTCTTTTTGTTCTTCGGCTACTTTGCTGTTCGGCGTTGATTCAATTGCAGCCACACACACACGACACGCTCTCCTTTGCAAAAGGTTTATGCAAATGCAATAAATTACATTTTATTATGAAAATTT